ATCCTTCCTAATTACTGCCTTAAATAATTATATTGTGAATGTTTGCTTGCTTGAGTGCGTGTGTGTGACCTTCTGGCAATAATAGCAACTGAGTCACTGCAGAAACTGTAGGGCGAAAGTTAGAATAATTAGAATTATTATAACAATTAAAATAATTAACAGAACGATTCACATTAACATATACCATCCTAACAGGGGTTATTGACCTTGATCATCAGAGGACTTAAGGGATGCTGCTGGCAGATGATGGGTGTAGGGAGGAATACTTTTTTTTTTTTTGCGTCTCACTCTGTCACCCAGGCTGGAGTGTAGTGGCACGGTCCCAGCCACTGCAGCCTCCACCTGCTAGACTCAGGTGATCCTTTCGCCTCAGCCTTCCAAACAGCTGGAACTACAGGCATGCGCCTTTTACCTAATGAGTCTGACAGAATTTAGGTCATGATAGGCAGTTGTGTCACCTGATGTCCCATGCTCAGGGACTCTGTCTCAATCCAGAGTACAGAAGCATGTCATGAGTATTTTTTGAAAAGCATAAAATTCTTGACTGCGGATGACATAGCCTTGCTCTAGAACCCAAGAGACTTGTCATTTGCTTCTCCTGCTGGTGTCCCATCTGAAAACTCTGATATCACAAGGTGTCCTTTGTCACATGAGTATGACCCAAGCAGCAGAGCCACTTGCATCACAGCCTGGACCTACCACTGGGCACTTGTCACCGCTGGGCCACATCAAAGTTAGCAGCCTTGAAGGTAAGCAGAAACCCAAGATGCTTTTTTTTAAGATGGGGTAGGGTGTGTCGTCCCATATGGTAGCCACTCCCACATGTGCCTACTGAGTACTTAAAATCTGGATGTGGCCAGGCACAGTGGCTCACGTCTGTAATCCCAGCACTTTGGGAGGCAGAGACGAGAGGACTGCCTGAGCCCAGGGCTTCGAGACCAGCTTGGGCAAGTTGGCGAGACTCCATCTCCACAATAAATCAAAAAAAAATTAGCCGGGCTAGGTGGCACGCGCCTGTGGTTCCAGGTACTTGGAAGGCTGAGGTGGAAGGAACACCTGAGTCCAGCAGCCCTGTAGGTCCAGGCTGCCATAACCACAGGCATGCCACTGCACTCCAGCCTGGGCAACAGAGTGAGACTCCAATTCTAAATAAGTAAATAAATACTTTTTAAAAAGAAATCTGGATGTAGCATATGTTTAAATGCTAATACTTGGGAATTATGGTATTACATAACATGTATTCTTATGTATCTGTTTTTTTCACATTGCTACTAGAATATTTTAAATTACATGCACGGCTTGCATAGGGACAGCGAAGAAGCACTCAGTCATTCACAGCCTCATTCACCGAATCTCTGTGGACAATCTCTCTGCCTCTTGCAAGGCGATCAGCTAGGTGTTGGGGAGACAAAGCTGAAAAAGACAGAGGGCCAGCTTTCACGGAGGCTTCGTTTTTTTTGGGAGACAAGTGATGGGGGCCTTGTGTGATGCTTGCCAGGGAGGAGTCCCTGGGGTGTGGGAGCACAGGAGGGCGGCATCCGGGCTGAGCTGGATAGTCGGAGAAGCCTGTCCTGAGGAGGGAGGTGAATTAATCTCGAATGACATTAGAACTTTATTAAACGTCAACTAAATCAAGTCGTGGAAGAAAAGATTCCAAATCAGAAAGGATGTCTTGATCAAAGTCTTCACGACTCGGGCTGAGTTATTCTTCTCTAGGGAACTGTCTTGAAAGCTTAGTAATCAAAGAAGGTTACAGCTCAGATTGAAGAGATTCTAATATGTTTCTTCCATTGTTTTCATCTTAAAATAAGCATGAGGGCAACCCCCTCAGGTCACCTCCCACTGTAGGAGCTTTTCTGTCCTCTCAATAAATCCTGCTTTAATAAATAAATAAAATAAGCATGAAAGAGAAAAAAACAATCAGATAAACACAAAGTATTTCAAGGTATGAAGTACAAAAAATAGGCTAAATCATCGATTGCTCTTGGCAGGAAATATTTTTAAAAACCAAACACTGAGAAAAAGAGGAGTTCTTAGCCATGTAACACAACTTGCACTTAGGGATTGTAATGTGGACATTCTGTTTCATGCCTCAGAAATAACTTAGGCGTAGTGGCTGTGTTTAATAGTAATAGGGATCATCTGAAGTTCTTGGTATGTGGCCTTCACTGGAGGCAAAACATCTGCATGAAAGACCCACTTTTTTTTTTTTTTTTTTTTGAGTTGGAGTCTCACTCTGTCGTCCAGACTGGAGTGCAGTGACATGCTCCTGGCCACCACAGCCTTGACCTGCTGGTCTCAGGCGATCCTTCCACCTCAGCCTTCCAAGTAGCTGGAACCACAGGCGCACGCTACCACGCCGGCTAATTTTTTGATTTATTGTAGAGATGAGGTCTCACCAAGCTGCCCGGGCGGGTCTCGAACCCGCGGGCTCAGGCAATCCACTCACCTCAGCCTCCCAAGGCGCGGGATTACAGGCTGAGCCACCGAGCCCGGCGAAAGACCCACTCTTAATTAGTAATACTGACAAGATAAATGATGGACACATTACCTGAGGAGATTGGAGAAAATTCTAAAAATCTATTACCCATCTGTCACTTTTCAGTCAATAATCCAAACCAGTTATTAATGAATACATTAAATAAATAATAAAATCGTGCAAATAAGTCAGACTTGCCCTGATTCAGAGTTTCCATTTTATGCTGACTCCTCAGAATTGCAAAGTTTAAGCCACCTTGCCTTTTATAAGCACAGAAAAAGATGGAGTTTAAAGTTAGAACTAGGCCGGGCACAGTGGTTCATGCTTGTCATTCCAGCACTTTGGGAGGCCAAGGTGAGAGGATTGCCTGAGCCCAGGGGTTCGAGACCAGCCTGGGCAACTTGACCTTGTCTCTACAAAAAACAAAAATAAATTAGCCAGGCATGGTGGCACTCACCTGTGGAGGCACCACAGGTGCCTCCTGGAAGGCTGAGGCAGAAGGATCACCTGAGCCCAGCAGGTGGAGGCTGCGGTAGCTGTGAGCGTACCACTGCACTCTTGTCGCCTGGGCGACAGCATGAGACGCTGACTCAAAAGACAAACCAATAAAGTTAGAACTAATTGACTGCAAAATAATCAAGAGCCTTAACATGAAGTGATTTTCTGCTTGAAAGAGTTCAAAAAAGACTCTGAATCAGGGCAAGTCTGACTTATTTACACGATTTTATTATTTATTTACTTAATGTATTCATTAATAACTGGTTTGGATTATTGACTGAAAAGTGACAGATGGGTAATAGATTTTTAGAATTTTCTCCAATCTCCTCAGGTAATGTGTCCATCATTTATCTTGTCAGTATTACTAATCCAGGTTTTTTAGCAGTAGAGCTGCTTATGTGCAGAAGCCGTTCATGGTGCGTCTGGTTTCAGAGTCTGTGGTATATTATCCTGGCACTGCTGCCCACTAAAATCCTTACTCTCCAGAATAAGCACTAAGTTAGACCCTTATCAATAAAGGTCATACTGAATGTCGTGACGGTATTGTAATTTTTAAAAATCATGAATGAACATCATGTACGATTACCCACGGTGGCAAACATGGTTCAACAACAGCCTCAGATGTTTTCTCTTTTTTTTTTTTGAGTTGGAGTCTCACTCTGTCGCCCAGACTAGAGTGCAGTGGCCACTCCCGGCCACCGCAGCCTCGACCTGCTGGGCTCCGGCGATCCTTCTGCCTCTGCCTTCCGAGTAGCCGGAACTACAGGCACGCGCTACCACACCCGGCAGATTTTTTTATTTATTGTAGAGATGAGGTCTCGCTGTCCAGGCGGGTCTCGAATCCACAAGCTCAGGCAATCTACTCACCTCAGCCTCCCAAAGGCACGGGATTACAGGCTGAGCCACCGAGCCCGGCTAGCCTCAGATCTTAAATCATGACTTTTTTTTGAGTTGGGGTCTCACTCCATCACCCAGGTTGGAATGCAGTGGCATGCTCAGGGCCACCCCAGTGTCAACTTGCTTAACTCTGGTGATCCTTCTGCCTCAGCCTTCTAAGTAGCCAGAACTATAGGCATGTGCTACCATGCCCAGTTAATTTTTGATTTATTGTAGAGACGAGGTCCCACTGAGTTGCCCGAGCTGGTCTTGAACCCACGGGCTCAGGCAATCTACTCGCCTCAGCCTCCCAAAGTGCTGGGATGACAGGCTGAGCCACCGATCCCAGCCCAGCCATGACTTCTTAACTACTAGGGTCCCCGGTCTCTTCTGTGAAGAGAACACACTGGTTATCTCCCCGCTGTCTGCTACTGCTGGCCATTTTCCTGAGCTCTCTGCCCTTCAAAAAGGTGATCAGTTGTGATGGCAGCAGCCAGTCTGGAGACTTATTGAGGAATATTTTATGGCCAACTTCTAAAGTGCCGTATCTGTTACTTAGGAGGCATTCATTTCCAGGTATAAAGAAAACATTATGGCCAGGCTCAGTGGCTCAGCCTGTAATCCCAGCACTTTGGGAGGCTGAGGCAAGTGGATTGCCTGAGCCCGTGGGCTCGAGACCAGTCTGGGCAATTTGGTGAGACCTCATCTCTACAATAAATAAAAAACATTAGCTGGGTGCGGCAGCAAGCACCTGTAGTTCCGGCTACTTGGAAGGCTTGAGATGCAAGGATTGCCGGAGCCCAGCAGGTCGACTCTGGTGTGGCCATGAGTGTGCCACTGCACTCCAGCCTGGGCAACAGAGTGAGACTCCAACTCAAAAAAAAAAAAAAAAGGAAAGAAAACATCATTTCATTAAAACAGAATTAAGTATGTTAACATCAGAGGAAGATGATTTGGAGCAAGCTTCAAAGAAATATAAACACAGGACCTGTTCAGATGCCGGTGTTCTCACACCCGGAGAGAAAAGCCTGCAAATCTCAGAGACATGAATAACCCCAAACAAGAGAAGACTCAGAAGTCACATCAGGCTTGAGGTAGGAAACAGGACACACGGCCATATGAAAACAGACATCACACTGCTTTGGAGCCTATATATTTATTGAGTAAAAACAGAATCAATGTCAGAAATGTTAAATTTGATTTGGTTCATATTTGGCTAATGTCCATTTGCAGCAGACAAAAACTGGGAGGAAGCAATACATGCTGCTGGCAAGGGGACACAGAACAAAACAGTCTCCTGGTAGAAGACTGTCTCCTGGTAGAAGAAGACTTCATGGTAGAAGTGGGCATCACACAGCCAGTGTGAGTCAGTTAACCAAGGTAGGGGGCTCAATGTTTAATAAGCAGGGGTGAAACCAAGGTAAGCATGGAACTCTCAAGGGAGAAGAGAACCAGAACATCTAGAGAACAAGCTGATGAAAGGTTGGCAGGAGAACGGCGGTTGGGAAAGACCGGCTGGCTCACTTGGGGAACACGGTGACCACGTCGTAGCCCTCGGGTGGTGTGACTCGCTCCCGGGCGTGCTTTTCACAGTAGATTTGATCCTCCACAAAGAAGTGGCCCTTCTGTTTCAGGTTGGTGCCACAGTCGGTGCACACGTAACACTCGGGGTGGCGGTGACGGTCCCGGAGCTTCACAAACACACCCCTGCAGGAGAAGAGTGTCATCAGTGACAGACATCAGGACTCTGTACTGTCCTTCCTCAGCTGGACCTGGGGCTCCTCCCCAGGGGCCCATCAAAGCGCAGAGCTGGGCCCCCCAACTGGCCTCCCGTCCTAAGGGACTTCTCATCCCTGGGGTCCAGAGACGTTCTTCTGGAAGCCCCGCCCACTTCCACAGGAAACCTGCCCCAGCTGGCACTGCTACACAGGCCCCACCTGGCCTCTCTGCCCATTTTCCAGGCAGGATGTGTTTTCCTTCACACCCAAGATGTGCACCACTGAGCTCTCTCCGCATTTTCATGGTTTACCTGACCGGCAGGGCCTGCAAGGACTGAGGGAGGCAAATACTCACACAATACCGGTGCCACATTTATCGCACAGGGGCAATTTCTGAGCGTTTCCAATCGACGCAGCCACTTTGGTGACAGGAGCTTTAACGCTTCGGAATCCTGAGGGCTTGTTGGGATCCCCTGAAATGAAGATAACGTTTGCATTGGCCGAGAAAGTATCATTTAAGCTCTTTCACAGTCGTGTGTGTGTGTGTGTGTGTGTGTGTGTGTGTGTTTTCAAACAAGGTCATGGACACTAGAATCAAACAGACTCTGCTGTGTGATGTTGGACAAGATATCAGTGTTTGCGAGTCATTAATCAGAATGCAATATAATTTGTGTTTTTTGAGGGCTAACCGTGTGCCAGGTATACTACAAGGACTTTCTGTGTATAATTTTTTTCATTTCTCTACAGTAGTGAAAGGAAAAATAACCTTTTTTTATAGAAAAAGAAATGACGAGAAGAGGTTAAGAATTAAAAATGCCTTGAAGATATAATAGCTAAGCAAATAAAAATACTATCTGACTGGGCACAGTGGCTCATGCCTATAATCCCAGCACTTTGAGATGCCGAGGTGAGAGGATTGCCTGAACTCACAGGTTCAAGATCAGCCTGGGCAACTTGGTGAGACCTCATGTCCACAATAAATCAAAAAATTAGCCGGGCATGGTGGTGAGAGCCTATAGTTCCAGCTACTTGGAAGATTGAGATGGAAGGATCACCTGAGCCCAGCAGGTTGAGGCTACCATAGCTGTGACCAGTATGCCACTGCACTCCAGCCTGGGCGACAGTGTGAGACTCCAACTCAAAAGAAATACACATTACCTGATCATCAAAAGACAGTGTATTCAGATGCAGAAAGAAACCCACATCACAGTAAAAACAAAATCATTACAGTGCAGCATATGACAGGAAGCAGATGAAGGTCACTTCCTACAGAGCAGAGGAAGAAATCTTTCTGCTGTCAGCTTGGTGCACACAAAATAAGCTCCTGGTGGCTGGGTGCTGCACTGCCCATGGCCCAGCATATCCCATCTTTTTTTTTTTTTGAGTTGGAGTCTCATTCCGTTGCCCAGGCTGGAGTGCAGTAGCATGCTCACGGCCACCCCAGCGTCGACCTGCTGGGCTCAGGCAATCCTTCCGCCTCAGCCTTCCAAGTAGCCGGTGAAAGGTGGTACCCACAGAAATCTAGAAGAAACTTAGCTTATTCTTAGTTTAGTCTTTTTGCCTCAGCATAACCATTAGAAAGTGTTCATTCTACTGCAGGACAAGCAACAGCCTATCCCATCCACGCCCCCCCCAGGCAAATCTCCATCAGATGCAAGACCAGGACGGCCCAAGCTTTCAATTCATGGTTTAGGATAATAATCTCTAGTAAACTTTTAGGTTCCTTGTCAAGGCTGAAGATCAAAGATCCCCCTTTTTCTGGCCAAAGTCATAAAAGTGATAAAATGACCACCTTTGGTCAAGGAACTTGTGAATTGCAAATGTCTAACAAGTCTCTTGCAGGAACGACCCCCCACGTGACACAAATAAACCCCACCATGGCAGTAATCACGCGACTAACCCACCCATCTGCCTGCTGTCCACCACCTGACATCAATGCCTGCGTTTGCCTGCCTCTTTGTGATGACGTGGAGCAGACCACCACCCGATCACCTTAATGATCTCCCCCCATCAAGGGGAATGGTTAAAAGGACTCAACCGCAAGCAACCGGGGGCCATTGCCTTGCTAAAGACTGGTGTGGCCATGTGCTCTTTGAGCTATGGCTGTTGCCATGCTTCCTGGCTTTGGCCCCCTCCCTTACCTTGGGGAGGTGAATCTGCTCTCCCCCTTCTCCTTCTCTCTCTAATTTGCTTTTACATAAACTTTTCTTTCTTTGCCTCTTTGTGTGTTGCAATTCTTTGCATTACTTGGATCTCTAGGTTACTGGTGCTACACCTCCCCTCACCCCTCCAGCATGCCACCCTCACCCTATCCGGACCCTAACAGCTGGAACTACAGGCACGCGCTACCATGCCTGGCTAATTTTTTATTTATTGTAGAGACGAGGTCTCGCCAAGTTGCCTGGGCTGGTCTTGAACCCGCGGGCTCAGGCCATCCACTCGCCTCAGCCTCCCAAAGTGCTGGGATGACAGGCTGAGCCACCCAGCCCGGTCTTGCATCACATCTTAGGTAACAAAGCCCTGCATCATGGCAACGACTCATGCTGGCGAGCTGTCCGTGTGGCGATTGCTACGCCACCTTCCCCAACATTGTGCTGCGCTGTTGGGCTTGTCAAGCGATGGCTCTGTGTCTCTCTCCCTGGACTGCGGCAGCGCCTAGAGCCCAGAACCTTGTTTCATTTGCATTTCAATACCCCACAGAGCCTAGCCCAGGGCCTACCAAATCACAAATCTCCATAAGCACACGAAAATGAACGAGCAGATGCTACGGCAAATGCATGATGGTCTCTACATCAGTCCAACGTGCTTTGGCCCCAGAAGCTGGAGAAGCCACTGCCCCGAGGGGCATTCTGAACAGGCATCTGTGAGCATCCCAGGCCCCAGGAGAGATTCTGTAAAATTCACAGGCTAGGCTCTCCCGCAGATGGGCTGAGTAAGCATCCTTCGGTGCAGGAGATTCCATTCTACACCCCTGGTTAAACTCACTTCTTTTTTTGTTTTTTTTTTTTAGTTCGGAGTCTCACTCTGTTGCCCAGACTGGAGTGCAGTGGCCGCTCCCGGCCACCGCAGCCTCGACCTGCTGGGCTCCGGCGATCCTTCTGTCTCAGTCTTCCAAGTAGCCAGAATTACAGGCATGCGCTACCACACCCGGCTAATTTTTTGATTTATTGTAGAGATGAGGTCTCGCTGCCCAGGCGGGTCTCGAACCCACGGGCTCAGGCAATCCACTCACCTCAGCCTCCCAAAGTGCTGGGATTACAGGCTGAGCCACTGAGCCCGGCTTAAACTCACTTCTTTAGACTGAAGCAGCTGTTCTCGAAACTTTCTTGTGCATCGAAATCATACCAGAGGGCTTGTCAACTGCAGGTTGCTGGGCCTCATCCCCGGAGTTTTGGATTCAGAGGGCCCAGGATGGGGCCTGAGAATCTACCTCTCCAACAAGCTCCCAGAAGCTGCAGGAACAGAAGTCCCTGGGCCAAGAACCACTGGACAAGAGCAAACAAGTGACTTTCTGTGTCAGGAGAGGAGGTAAAGAGAGGGTCATCCCATGACTACAGTCATGTGGGCTGATAGCTGGGAGTCCTGGCCCTCTTGTCCTTTAGAAGACAAGTCCCTATTTGCTGACCGGTGCTTCTCAACCAAAAATGGAGACACGCGTGCAGGTAATGGCATTTAAGAAATGCTGAGGTGTTTTGTTTGTTTGTTTTAAGAAATGGGGTCTTGTTATGTTGACGAGGCTGGTCTCAAACTCCTGGACGTAAGTGACCTTCCCACCTCAGCCTCCCAAGTAGTTGGGATACAGGCAGGAGCCACCATGCCCAACCACACTTGGCATTTAGAATGCCTCTGGCTGGCATAGTTTACTGTGTATTTTGCCCACCCTTATCCCTACCCACCCTTGCCATGTTTCCTGCTTGTCAGGGGTTCTCTACGGGGGGTGATTTTGACTCCCCGACAGCCGTTTGGGTTGCCACACTGGAGGGGAGTGCTACTAGCAACAAGTGGGGTAGAGGCCAGGGATGCCGCCTAACATCCCAAATGCACTGGGCAGTCCCACAACAAGGACTCCTACGGCCTAAAATGTCAACAGCACCAAGCTGAGAAGTCCTGCTCTCAGAGGGGTAGACGCCCCCATCCACAGACTTGGCCCAAAGGAATGTGAGCAGATGCGAGTCTTGTCCGGGCAAAAGCACCAGGTGCACTTGGAAGGCTTGACCCTGTCCCCTGGAGCTCCTGCCCTCTGCCATGAAGACAGCTAACACCCAGAGAGCACCTCTTCCATCACTGTGCTTCTGGAATGAGAAGACTTGTCCGGGCTCAGTGGTTCAGCCTGTAATCCCAGTACTTTGGGAGGCCGCGGCGAGTGGGTTGCCTGAGCCCGCGGGTTTGAGACCCGCCTGGGCAACTTGGCGAGACCTCGTCTCTACAATAAATCAAAAATCAACTGGACATGGTAGCGCATGCCTGTAGTTCCAGCTACGTGGAAGGCTGAGGTGGAAGGATCCCCAGAGTCCAGCAGGTCGAGGCTGCGGTGGCCAGGAGCGTGCCACCGCACTCAACAGCCCTTTCGTGGTGTTCAGGGCACAGCCTCCCAGGCCTCCCCACTCAGAGCTGGGACCCTCCTGCACTGGGAAACTGATGCACACACGTGTCCACCTGGAAACACATGACAAGGGATAGAAATCAGGAGGCTCCCCTGTGTTAAGTCATGAGCTCTACAGACCGAACTGGGGAGGACTCGTTCTGTCCCCAAAGCAGGTACACTGGGGAAGCCACCTGGTACTTCTGTTACACCCAAGTCCACTGATCTGTCTACTTGTCTGTTTCTGGCCCATCTCTTTCCACAACGATGGCTTACAGCAAGGACACTTACAACAACATGATGGGAAAACAAAACCAAAAAAAAAAAAAAAGGGTAGGGAACCAGGCCTAAGAAAAACAGGAGTAAAAAATCAAAACTGGGTAAGAGCCTTCTTGTCCTTTCCAACTTCCTCCCTTCCTTTCGTAGACGTCCACAGCCCCAAACTTGACCATCAGAGTTTTTCTGCACTAATTTTGATTTTTTTAAATGCTGCATTTGGCCAGGTAAGGTGGCTCAGCCTGTCATCCCAGCACTTTGGGTGGCCACAGCGAGTGGATTGCCTGAGCCTGCGGGTTTGAGACCCACCCGGGGAACTTGGTGAGACCTTGTCTCTACAATAAATCAAAAAATTAGCCGGGTATGGTGGCCCACACCTGTAGTTCCAGCTACTTGGAAGGCTGAGGCGGAAGGATCGCCAGAGCCCTGCAGGTCGAGGCTGGGGTGGCTGTGAGCGTGCCACTGCACTCCAGTCTGGGCGACGGAGTGAGACTCCAACTCAGAAAAAAAAATGCTACATTAAAACATCATTTTTGTCTTGAATATTGTGTTTTCTAGAGTTTCCTTTAATTTGCACCCAAGGCAATGCTTTCTTACCTCACCCTAATCCTGGCC